TTGTTACTAGTGTTGTGGCCCCACCCCATAACAAAGAAACAGAATTTCCGGAGGATGGGGCCCAGGAATCAGGATTTTAAAAATGATTCCCAGGTGATTCTAATGTGCAGCCAAGGTTGAGAACCACTGCTCTAAGCTAAAGCCACTGGCCTTCCCTCCACATCCAGCCATTTGCTCTGACCAGACCCTCCCTGCTTCTGGACCCAGGGTTTCTGTGGAGGATGTGGGCACCCGCTGGGCTGAGGCCAGGGCCGGTCCCTACCGAATGGGGATAGGCATGGACCTCTTGTCATATCCCTTCCTCCAGCACCTAAGACCCTTGGAGAGAAAGTTTCAGGAGGCTCAGGGGTCAGCGAAGTCACTGGTCTCGGCCCAGGAGATAGTGCCTCCTGTTCCTGCCTGTTCTGGGTGAGATCGGAGGTTGACCTGGGCTGGATGGACGTGACCTCAGACATGGGGGGAAGGGCGCCTGGAAGGGTGCGTCCTCCATCGGGCAACAGTTATCTCAATCCTGAGCGTTGGGAGGCAAGATGGCTGAGTCTTACTGGACTGAGTAAATGGTGGGGAGGCTCAGTAAATGGATCCTAGAGTGTGAGCCAGGAGTCCTGGGCTCTGGCTTTGCATGGCTCTCTGGGTGCCTTTCAGCAAGTCTCTTTCCCTCCACGGCTGCCATTTCCTTTGCCGGAAAGTGCAAGGATGAGACGGGATGATTCTGGTTCCTTCCTACTGCAAACACCTACCTCCCAGAGTGCAGGGACAATAACTGCAAGTAGCTGGAGGGCCCTGGGGAGACCATGCGAGTCAGGAGCTTGAACCCATTGGGACAGGGGCATAACCCTAGTCCCAAACCAGGTCGGGGTGGGGTACCCTTCCTGGGCACCCAACGCTGAGAAAGCAGGAGACAGGGCCCCTATCAGACTAGTCATGCCCCCTCCATGCTCCCTTTGCTGCCTCCCACCGCACTGACTGCGCGCCTATGAGGTGCCACCCTCATTCTTGCCTCTGCACAGGAGTGGTCTGGGAACCTGCCTGGGCGCTCCTGCAGGGCAGAACCTAGGTCTTCACCGCCTTGTGCTCCCAGGGCCCAAAGGCCCGGCACGTCCAATGTTTCCAGCACTGAACTCAGGGTGGAGAGTCAGCCTGTCGGCAGCAGGAGGGGGACTAGGCAGGCTGTGGCGTCGTGGGAGCCACTTCAAGCTTTTGGTCAGTTCTTTCCAGACTCTTTATGGGAGCAAAAGAGCAAGAGCACAGCTTACACATGGGTTTGGACAAGAGCCTTCGGGGGAGCAAAGGTCCTTGGGGCCACCAAGATCAAACGCAAGGAGAGAATGCCCGGGGAGGGTGGCCAGGGCCCTGGGTCCAGCCACCTCCACCTGGGGGGAGGCTTTCCCCTGGAGGCCAGCAGGAGCGCGCCCCGGAGGCTCAGCTTACGTCCATCAGCGCCGCGTTGATGTAGTTGCTGGATTCTCCGTCCACCGAGATGAGGAAGGGCAGGCAGCGGTCCAGAGGCAGGACATCCATGCTCCGGTTCTTATCATGGTTCCGAGGCAGGAGCCCGATGCTGCAGTCCTCGGGCCGGACGTGGGGCGTCACGATGTTGAGGGTCTGTGGGCGCAAAGGTGGACAGACAGACACAGCTCAGATGCTCGCCCGGAACCGAGGGGCAGTGATGTGCAAAGTCAGCCTCCCCCCATCTCCATCCTCCCAGCTGGGCCCTCCCGTGCCTTTCCCAGGACGGGTTCTCTTCTGTGGTGATTCTATCATCTGCGGGCCTCTCCAGCCCTGCGCGCCGAGAGCCCCTTTCAGGGGCTGTGACTCCACCACGCTGCCAGGGCTCAGGGGCTCCGACACAGCTCCCACCTCCTGCCAACCATCTGAGCTAAGCTGCTCATCTCAGCCAGTGCCGCACTAAAGGGCGGGCCAGCCAGGAGGCCGTAAGGTGGGGGTGGAGATAGGGAACCCCTAATGAGTATTAAATATTCCCTAAAGTGTCATCGGATGAGGGACATAGTTTTACCAGCATGCTCCTCAGAGAGAAAGCGGAGAATGGAGATGCCTGGATGAGCTGCACAGGGTGGGTGAGACCCCGGGGTGCGGGGGCGGGGGGGCGTGCTCCAGTGTGTCTGGAGAATTTCAGGGCTTGTGCTCTGCAGAGTAAGTCTTGCACGTACGGGGCTGGCACTGAGCTGCCCAGCCAATGACTAGCTGTGCCCATACCTGAAATTCGTCTTTGATTTGGCTGGAGTTGGTCTGGGGGTCCAGCCTGCTGATGTTGTAGTAGAGGGAGCGGAACTCGCACACGGGGATGGCGGTGTTGCCGCAGAGGCACGCTTCCAGGATGGCGTCATGCACAAACACGTATTGCTCCTGCAGAGGGAACAGGGCCCCGGTCAGAGCAGCCGCTGGGACTTTGGTGTCCACACTGCATGCTGTGGCTGTGGGGAGGGGCGTGACCGACATCGCAGAATCGCTACTTTCCGTCCTAGAACCGGAGGGCCAAGTTTCCATGTTTTTTGGTGGCTGCCTGAGCTACGGTGACTCTTGTCCCTTGTGTGAGACTGAACAGCACAGTCACTGGTAAAAGTCAGACACTGTGGACGTGCTGCAGCAGGTGCCCTTGGTGTCCTGCCTGTGTCCCCTCAGAGGTCACCGTGACCTGCTGGAGGCTGCTGATGCAAGTGCCAGGCATTCAGGCCGAGGGCTTTTCCTAGTCCCAGGGGCACCCCTGAGCTGCGTGCAGGGTGAGCCCGAGGGTGGAGAGTTAATGCCCCAGGAAGGAGCCTCCAGCGATGCCAGGTGGAGAGTAGGGGGACGAAGACCTAGGTCCCCCTCTCCTCGGTGGGTCACTTGGAAGAATGTGCTCCCCACTATCTCAGAGCCCCCAGGGCTGGTTCCAGGTGTACACGGTGTCAGAGAACTTGGCACACACCTTACCAGGGTCCGGAAGCTTGCGTTCCCCCTGCCCTTCCCCCCTCCACTCTCAGTGTGCCTAGGGATCCCTCCCACTAATCCACTTGCCCTCAACCGCTAGTCTCAGGGGCTGCTCCTAAAAAAAAACATGTGATGCCCCCTGTGCCATCTCAGCTCTCTGCACCTCGCGGTTCTCTTCTCCTGGGCACCATCCCCCCTTCTATGCCTCAATGTCTTGCTTCCTCTGGAAAGTCTTCTCTAAATTCACCAGGAGGAAGTGGCGCTGTAACTTCCTTCACAAAGGTTTGCTGAATGACTGTTTTCTGCAGAACTTGGCCCAGCTCTTTATATAAAATGCTTATCCAGATGCATAAAGATGATGTATTTGAATGTGCATCTCCCCCACCAGACAGCAAGGACCACAATGTGTCCAACACCAGCCAGCCATCCGCATGCCTGCCCCTGGGGCCAGAGGAGGCCTCTCGGCTTAGCAGCCTCACCCAGAAGCCGGGACTGCCCGTGGGAGCTGGCTCAGAGCCCACAGCAGGGCCCTACGTGGACAAGCCTGTCAGTGGGGGCCTCCCTGCAGAGCCAGCAGCACCTGGCCAAGCCCAAACCGCGGGCAGTTTCCCTCTGCAGGGCTGACGACGGAAGCAGCTCTGTGTCCCGTGCTGCCTGTCCTGGCTCCCACAGCCGTCGCTCAGACAGTTACAGGAATAACAAACCAAGGCTCCAAGGAGTAGGGATGGCAGAAGAGGCTGCCTGGCGAGAAAGTGTGATTCAGGGGGAAGAGCATGCCCAGAGGTCACACCAGCCCGAGTTCTACCATGATCTGGCTATGGGAGGCTTTGGGGACACAGTTGCTCAGTTTTTCCATCTGTAAGTGGGGGTGCAAATAGGATTTACCCCATAGGGTTGTTGTGAGGAGCAGAAACAATTTCCTGAATGCAAAGAACCTCGCATGATGCTTGGCACATAGTAGGTGCTCCACAATAATGATGAGCCCCTCCCAGTTCCCTGGGTCTTGGGCTCAATAACTGGACAGAGGGGTGCCTGAAGGCCTGCTTCACCTCAAAGGCAGGGACTGTGTGTTCTCAGTAGGTCACTGATTAAGCCATTCCAGCAGTGACTGAAGCAATGCGGGGCACAGAGTAGGCACTCAATATATGCTAGTCCTTCCCTATCTCTTATCCCTTTCACCCAAGTCGGTGATACTATTCATTCAGTCCCTGCACAGATGGGCTCAGAGATGGGGAACTCACCATCATTCCTCATTGCTGAAAATCTCTGAACTGGGGGGCCCTGGGGTTGGCAGGGGCACCCTAGCTTCAATGATGGTCTCAACACAGCAAGCCACCTACTCACTCACTGCCTTTTCTCTCACACCCAGGTCCCTTTCTATAGGACGCCACCACCCACACTTCTCCTTGGCCAGGACTGCAGGTGGCCGGCTGGCTCAGGCCCCAGGACCCACCTCCGTCTGCACAAGGTTGACCCTCTGGGCTCGGAGCTCCCGCACACAGTTGAAGATGTCCACCACCCCTTCGTTCTCGGCCATGTCGAGCATGGTGTCGATGGCGATGAAGCAGCCGGTCCTCCCGGCCCCGGCGCTGCAAGAAAGGACAGGGTCTGTGTCAGGGACCGTGGGGCGGGACCAGCCCTGGGAGGCTCCTCACATTCAGCCCTGTCACCAGGACCCTGCAGAGGTGTGCGCTGCGGACGTCAGAACTGGGAGATTCCGATCAAACTGCAAGCCCAGTTCTCTCTTTTATAAAATGGGAGAATACTATTTGCCTTTGGGGCTATTTTGTCAAGATTGGCTTATTTTTGTTGAATGCATTTAGCAAACACTCACTTGGCACTTACAAAGTACCAGGCATTAGTCTAAGTATTTCACCAATGCTACTTATTAATAATTCTCTTATGAGGTTGTTAGGAAGTTTCTCACCCCATTTCACAGGTGAGAAAACTGAGGCACAGGGCGCTTACATTGTGCGATGTCACACAGCCAGCTGGTGTTGCAGCTGCGACTTAACCCAGGCAGTCTGGCTCCAGAGTCTGTGCTCTGCCACTTCCTTCTTAAAAACAGTCATTGCACATACTCATGCTTACACACACACATATACATGCTTACACTCAAGTATGCATAGTTTCCTCACCTGATGGCTAAAGATAACCCATCTAAAAGGTACCTAGCACACTGGGGATGCCTAATAAACATGTTCCCCCACTCTCCCCCTCCATATCACCCTTTCTTTTATCTTCTTCAATAAATGGGTTGATAGATGGAAGCCAGGAAGGAGAGGAGAGACATCGGAGAACAGGTGAGCGAGAGGGCAGAAACCAGCTCTTCTGCACTGTCCCAAAGGCAGAGAGTGAGTCCCAGCCCCGGGTTTGGCTCCCCCTGCACCTGCTCTCCCTGGATCATTAGGCAGTGCCTCCATGAACTCAAAGAGCTGACAGCCCTGAGAGCCTGGTCTGGTATCAGGTCTCCTGATCCACACTCAATTCTGATGGCTGGTGACTTCCTTAGGAGAATCTCAGACCAAGCACAAAATGGCAAATAATAATAATAGTAGTAATAATAATAATAATAAATCAAGGAGACCCCATGGACCACGGCTGCCCTCCCCAGATTGGTGCTGGGTTCCAAAGTCATGGTGGTGAGCGGAGGCCACTGGAACGTTTGCCTTAGAGGCACACAGTTTTGGAAGCAAAGGCCAGACTGCCAGGGAGACTGTCGCGACCCACAGGTTGAGAACCACTGCCTTAGAGGCACACAGTTTTGGAAGCGAAGGCCAGACTGCCAGGGAGGCCGCCTCGGCTGCGTTTTCGTCTGGCTTCCCTCATGGACGAGTGTCTTTGACTCACAATGTGGAAATGAAAGGAACACAAAGAGGAAGAACGATGGGCCGTAAGGAGAGCGATACTGGCTGAGCGTGAATCCAAGCAGGACAGGGAGTAGGACCATCGCCGACAACGATGGGAGAGCAAAGCCCTGGACACGCATCCTCGATCCGGAAAGTAGCCCGTGGGAGGCAGTCTCCACTCAGGGCACAATGCCACGGTTTGAATGAAGCCTGATTTGTATGTTCCCTACAGCACTCCATCCCCCACCGATCCAGGCCCCTCAGATGGGATGTGGGGGGCTGGCCCTCGCGGTCTAAGAGCCACCCCAGCCAGGTCTTCTCTGAAGTCTCACCCTGGACCTGTTTTAGGGGAAAGAACTAACCTGACTCGATTTTGGACCTCGGATCCCTCACTAGTGAACAGCTGCTGGTGCCCATGAGCTCAGTTTTCTTCCACGTACAACACACCTCCGTGCAGGGTTCCCGTGGGGACCGAGCTGTGTTGATTTCAGCATCAGGCAGCAATTAAGCCCATGCTATTGGGGGTCAGAACCCTGGGGATCAAATTCTTACTCTGCCACTTCCTAGCTGTGTGACCTTGGGTAGATGATTCAACCGCTCCGAGTGTCAATACCCTCATCTTTAAAATGAGGCTGAAAATAATATAGACCCACCATCTAGCGTTAATAGCACAATACGTGTAAATTGCATGAAATTATCTTGAAAAAGCATAATACATGTAAATTGCTTTGCCCTGTGCCTGGCTACATAGCAATTTCTCAGTAAACGGTTGCTACTTATATTCACGAATATTTATTGAGCACCTATTAGGTAGGCATTAGAGGCTGGGTTTGGGAGTGGGGACATGAGGATGAGTGAGACATGGCTCCCGTCCTGCAGGATGAGCGGGCTGGAGTGGGGGCAGCAGTAAGAGGCAGAGAATGTCCGGAATCCTCTCTGGCACCTCGTATATGTTGGCCACCCATTCAATCTTCAGAAGCGCCTCAGGAGCGGGGCCACTCTGCGCAGGGGCATTAAGGTGGCTGGCTGTGGAGACAAGGCCTCGTGCAGGGAGGGCCTGTAACTGTTTGCCATGGTCTCTCTTGTCCAGCTCTGGCTGCGTTTTGGGGCATAGGACTTGAGGGCTAACATTCTGTTGTCATTGGATTGTAAAGCGATGGTAAGCGGAGACTATATGTAAAGCTCTCAGAGAGCCCAGGGTGTGTGATGCGTATGACCTCCTAATCCTCAATGGCTTCATCTGTGAAATGGGATTTCTAATTCTCACCTCTGCGTGGTGGGGAGGGGACATGATGCTATGTGAGGAAGGGGTGGCTCTGAGACATCCTCCTTGACTTGATCCAAGTCCCTGACTGACGGGGCTGTGCCAGGGCAGGGCCAAGATAGCCTGCCTGCAGGGCCTGAAGGATGGGCTGGCCCAAGGTCACGCTGGAAAAGAGAGTCCCTGGGAAGGAGACGGGGAGGGCGCAGGCCAGCCAGCCCTCATGTCTGGGCATCTTCCCTCCTCCAATTCTTCAAGTCCTTGACACAGTGCTCCATCTCCATTTAGGAGGATTCAAAGATGTGCTAGCCATTCCCAATGTGACTTCCCAGGTCGGAGCTGAAAATATCTCTTCTCTACAATAAGGTGAAACCTGGCGCTGTCCATTTTCTCTCTATTAGGGACCCTGCAGGCTGGAAATTGATTTTTAAAATAATAGAAATGAAAAGAAGCCACTTCCTCTGAGACACCCCGCTCCCACTTCACAGAGCTGAGGGTGAGTGTCTGGAGGAAAGCAGGCTAGATGTCCCAGCTCGGTACACCTGTGTGACCCAGGCCAAGTGTCTACCTGCTCGGTACCTCAGTGTTCTTATCTGTAAAATGGGAACGATAATGGTGCCCACCTGTCAGTGTCGGGTGAGAAGTAAATTAAATAACGTGGGTAAAGGGCACATATAGAAGATGCTGTCGGGGCCAAGCCCTTGTCCCCAGGGGGCGTTACTACTTCAGAACAACAGAGATAACAATGAGTGCTACCGCCACTCCTATTGTTCTTGTGAGACCTCAGGACCTGGGCCTTATCAGAAAGCACTGGGCACAGTGGACAGACAGGGGCCATGGACAAGATGGTGTCTCCCTCCCCGAGAGCAGATCTTTCAAGCGGGGGCGGGGGGGGGGTGCTGGGGGACTTTCACTTACCTGCAGTGAACCACGATGGGCCCGGCTTCCGGGGGGTTGAGGAACTTGACTTGGCGGACAAAGCCCAGGAGGCCAGTGGCATAGCAGGGGACGCCGTGGTCGGGCCAGCTGGTGAAGTGGAAGAGGCGGAGCTCCCGGATCTCGTGGTAGCCTTTCTGAGGAGAGAATGGGCCTCTGTTCCTGCAGCTGCTGCCCCCATATACCCTAGCCAGCGCCACGGGGCGCCACGGCTGCGGCACTGAGGAGCCAGTCTCCTGCTGTTGGGGAGGCAAGGCCCTCAAAGGGTTAATAGGTGCCCCTGCACAGAGGGTCTGTGGTCTGCCACTTCTGGGAGCTTGGGAAGTAACGTGAAAGTGACTGCAGTACTGCAGGACTTGTCAGAGCCTTTAGTGTCCTAATATACATCTGGCTCCCCAAGGGGGGCAGGCATTGTGACACCCCAGAGTTGCCCAAGGACCTTCTTCGGACAAGTATTGCATGGAACTTGTATCCAGCAGAACAGATTCAGAGAAATGTTGGCCTTAAACACCAAGTTCAAATCATTTCCCGTGGAATACGAGGCCTTTCAGTGATTAGGTCTGGGGTCCTACAGTTCCCAGTCCTGTCTATGACAGTTTCCGTGGCTTTAAAATAAATTAGCAGGCTTGTAATCAATTAGATTATTATTTAGAATGATAAGATATGGAACAAGTAAAAGTGGAGCTTCTCTGACCGATGGGTGTGTGTGACCAAGTTCAAATCATTTCCCGTGGAATACGAGGCCTTTCAGTGATTAGGTCTGGGGTCCTACAGTTCCCAGTCCTGTCTATGACAGTTTCCGTGGCTTTAAAATAAATTAGCAGGCTTGTAATCAATTAGATTATTATTTAGAATGATAAGATATGGAACAAGTAAAAGTGGAGCTTCTCTGACCAATGGGTGTGTGTGAGTGTGTGAGTGTGTGTGTGTGTGTGGGGGGGGGCGGCTAGAGCTCCGCTTGGTTCCCCTTCTCCTCTCACCACCCCTCACACAGACACCTCCAGTCCAAGTGACGTTCCATGACTATTCTGTGGTCAGGCCATACCTCTGAGCCTCTGCTTATGCAGTGCCCCTACCTACTGTTTCCACTTAGCAGTCTCCTGCACATATCTGGACAGCACTGAATAGGAAGCATGTTCAATTGTTCATTCTTCCAGTTAAAGAATATTCTCTGAGGGTTATCTGTGCCCGGCCACTAGGAAGGTGGAAATAAAAGCCTCTGTCCCTGGAACAGCTCATGATCTAGTCAGGGAGGTAGACTCCCAAGTGGATAATTCTATTAAAGTACATAAAGGAGTGTCAGCTAACCCCTTCTGGGGAGAGGAGAAATCAGAGAAGGCTTCCTGGAGGAGGTGATGCCTGAACTGTATCTTGAAACATAATGATACTGAAAATAATGGCTAACATTTATTAACCATAGACTAGGTGCCTGCCACTCTCTGAACACTTCCATGTATTAATTCACTGAATTGTCATACCAATCCTCATACTGTTCTCTCTTTTTTTTATGGATGAAGAAATTGAGGCTAAACAAGGTTAAGTAACAGGCCCAAGGTCACACAACTAGTAAGTTGTGAAGTTGCAATCTGAACCCTGGCTGTTGGCTCCACAGTCTGAACTCCTAAGCATTGTGACACACTGATGCCTGCGTGTGACCTGGTGAAGAGATGGAGGGATTCCTAGGCAGGGAGGCAGCGCAGGCAAAGCATGGGGACAGGACTTTGCACGATTCGTGCACAGAATCGCAAACAGCCCAGGGCAACTCCCGAGGAAAGTGGAAGACAGGCGAGGGCATACAGCAGGACTGAGGGTGGGGGGTGGGGCAGGTGCTGGATCTGGGAAGGCCTGGAATTCCACTTGCAGGCCTTTAGATTTTGTCCCAGAGGCACTGGGGAGCCCTAGGGAGGTTGCCTAGATGGTGGCACAGAAGAGGCATCAGACTTGCATTTTGGGAGGATCACGCCAGCTACTCTGTGGAGGCTGGATTTGGCTGTGTGTGTTGGAGGGCTGTGTAGAGGGCACTGTTGACACCCACCCAGATCCCCTTTCCTGGGCCAGCCCCCCCCCCCCCCCCCCCCCCCCGCC